GATCCATCAAAACGCTGCTGGGCAGCACAAAACTTTAGCCACAGACTTTGTTTGGTCGTAAAATGTTTCTCAAACATTTTAACTTATGTGAAAGTGTGATATATCAAGTCAAATCAAACTCTGCACAGCACACCTTCTGCTGGATAAATTATGTAATAATAGAGGCTGCTGTTTCCAGGTAACCAACACCCCACATATCCTCCGACATTTTAATGGAAACAGGGATAAAGTCTCTTTTGATATTTGCTTTTCGAATGTATCAAATATGTGCATTTTCTATGATGGAAACACAGTCCCTGCAACACGCCTGCAGGTCTCTTCACGCAGACAAAACTCAATAAAGAGCATTCAAATACAAAGTCTTTCTAGATTGAAAAGAAAAACATGTTATTAAAGCGTGATATCATCTTCCCTTTCCAAAGCCTTAGGTCCTTGCATTATGTTTATTGTCTTATTCGAGAACACTCTGCCACAGGCTGACCCTCCCACAACTTCATCTGCTGACGTCCTGCACCATCCTCCAATACCTAATATAATAGTCAAGCCACACATTGTTGTGAGTTACCAAAGTAACGTAGTGTCCCTCATCACCGTCTCACACACACACACAGGAATCTTATTGTTCAGGGCCATATTCCAGAAGTGTGGAGAAGATGCTGGATGTTTTGTTTGAAGTGGTTCCAACGGTTGACTTGACCTTTTGCCTAAGTTAAAAAACACCTCATCTCATCTCCAAGGCACGTTTATATGTATAGCACAGTTCATACACAAGGCTATCTGGTTCTTAACAAAACCAGAAACAATACAAGGCATTCATATCATAAATAAAAACCATCAACCACTTGACCATTTGCTTAAGACAATAAAGGACACTACACTGAACCTGATCTCATCTCCTATTGTCAACCTCAGACATTACAGTATATTATTGTATTGTTTGATTGTTTTTTTAAGCTCTCAGTTGTACAGGTATTATTCAAGACACAGGATTGTTGCTCACCCATCATCTGTACATCAGTTAGCAGGTTTTCCAATCATTTCGTTCTTCATCCAAAGAACTTTCACAACGAAAAGTCAGAAAACCAGCTAACTTATTGACTCCCAAACTTTTTCTGCTGTACATAAGATTTTTTTTTTTGCCACAGCCATAACTGCAGATTGTAATATGTCAAAAAATATGTCCATATTCCACGATTCTGCAGTGGAAGTCCGTAGTTGGCGTGCAGCCTGCATCAGTGGCTCCCTCCGGCCGGACTCTGCATTAGGCTGCACTGAGTCACCTTGCCCCAGTCCACCCTAGAAGCGATCAGCACTTGACGGTCAGATGCTACACGCCGCTCACTGCTTTCTCCTCCAAGCTAAGGTTAAGGACCGAGATACTTACGAGCTAATATGGCCAATAGAGGGTCTGTGGGAGCGCTGCTAATAACTGGTAAGATGAATAGGCTGTCACTCTGGATTTATGTCTAGATTTTGGTGGTTACATCTGTCTAAAACAAATTAATTCTTGTAGGAATGTTGTTACAAGGGCTCATGGGTGTAAGATTTATGGACTTTCATTTGTCGGAGGCTTTCATTTGTCTGAGGGTGAAGAGAAGGAAAGAGGCAAAGAAAGTGATCGAGTTTTTGCTGCGATATTGTTTTTAAGTGTTTTATTAGGCCTGTAAACGCACCGGACCTGCAGCGTAGTGGTCTTCATGGAGAGGACATCGTTTTGCCTGTAATGTCATTAAGCACATTGTCTGTTAATACAGCTATGAAAATCAGTGTTTTAATAAATATTCTCCTGAGAGTCACATGGTGTATCTCTCAGGAGTGACCCCTGATGTGCATTACCGAGGATCAGAGCTCGTGTGTGGGAGCGGGACGAGCTTAACTGTACTTTTTGGGATTTTTAAAAACATGGACACACGTTTCGTTGTGCAAAAAAAAGATAATCCTAATATTCATATAAGTTCGATTCAATTCAATTTTGTACAGCCCTAAATCACAGTAGTTATCTTGGACTTCCTGACAAAGTTGTTGATTGCCAACCTAGATCAGAGAATCAAAACGTTCAAAAAAGAATTAATGATGCAATGATATAAAAACACATAGAGCCTTTGGTCCATAAAGGGCAGATGACCAATGTCCAGAAATGTTGATAAAGTCCATAAATGTCGTTGAATGTCGGGTGTCCTGGATCATCGCCATAAAAAACACACACTTTATGCAATTTTGGATCCATTTCACAAAACGCTCATGTAATAGTCTCAACATTGTTTTTATGAGGAGTCACCATTCTCGTCTCAGATCGGAAATATTGAGTCACTTTGGTGCTGAAAGACTTCCTGAGAACTTAGCATGAAAAGCAATAGTATCAGCTATGACTTTGTGATGCGTCATTCACCAGAAAACCTGCATTTTTACTGTTCAAACAACTTACTCATAATGCAAGCCAACCAAAGTCAAATATAGAGGCAATGGGAAGTGGTTTAGAATGGATTTGAAAACAATAAGTTCAGTTTGGCGTCTCGCTTCCGTCATCACCGTGTGAGAATGGAAAAATATCAGCAACAATATATAAATAAACATACTTACTTACTTACTTACCTACTTACCAACCTACCAAATCAGATGTTTTATTCCTTGACTTAGCTTCTCCCGCAGCGTCTCTGTTGGAGTGTGTTATCCCTCTTAGTGCCCGTAAACATGCTCATGTGGCCCTGGACCCGGTTGGCTCATTGGTCCTAACCTGCCAATCTTCCGTGGCTCGAAGTTGCTCGCCATTTTGTTGAGACCAGTGGGGGCGGGTCCCGACTCCACAAGGTCCATGAGCAAGTGCGCTGTCATGCTTGCAATCTCACTCCTGGCCGGTAGGGGTGGACCCGGAAAGAGAATTACCCAGGACTTTTGTGTGGCGTCTTCTTTCCTCTCAAAAACAGCTTTACAATCTACGGTTGAGACACTTGATTCTTAGTTCATACGTCAACTTCTGTTTCTGTGTTTTGACTCGTGATTAGTTTTGATCCTTTGGATATTTGTAAAGCTATTCTATCATTAAGCCTTCTGTTGTTTTCTTTGGTGTTTATAGGTTAACTTATGCTGCTTTCATTGTAAATATTTGATCTTATCAACATTTATGGACATTGGTCTTCTGCCCCTGATGGACCAATGGCTCTATGTGTTTTTATTAGTGCATTTCTTGTGTTTGAACTGTTGGATTCTCTTATCTGTATTTGCGAATTCAAGGGTTTTCAATCAATCAATCAATTTTATTTCTATAGCACAGTTCATACAGAATGCAACACAAAGTGCTTCACATCAGCAACATTTAAAACGAATTTAAAAACACACTTTAAAAACAAATACAAAAGACAATTTAAGAAAATGAATAAATATATATATGTATATGTCAATAATTTAATTATGATCCGTTTTCCTGATGATCAGTTTTAGGCACGGCTGAAAAGAACCGTTTTCAGCCTGGGCTTGAACATAGCTAAGGTATGAGTCTGTCTGACACTTTCGGGAAGACTGTTCCAGATTCTAGGTGCATAGGTCTGGAACGCTGCCGCCCCATGTCTAGTCCCAACCCTGGGCACCAACATGAGGCCAGTCCCCGCGCTCCTCAGAGATCGAGCGGGCTCGTACGGCACCAGCATGTTGCATATGTATTTTGGTGCTAGGCAATGGAGAGACTTAAATACAAAGAGAGCTGATTTAAAATCTATTCTCTGAGCCACAGGAAGCCAGTGCAGAGACCTGAGGACTGGACTAATGTGGTCGTACTTCCTGGTTCCTGTCAAGACTCGAGCTGCAGCATTTTGAATATACTGTTTTGTGATGTCCTCCAAGATAAACTACTGTCGTGATTTAGGGTTATACAAGAATACATTGATTAGAATGTTGTTGGTTCAATACATAATGATTTTAGTTTAACATATTGGTTTTAGTGTTACTTCCTTTCACTCTTGCCGAGCCGGGTTGAAATAGGTGCCCACAAAGAACAGATTGCTCACTACTTTTTATGAGCGCACAGTCTGAACATTATGTGAATCAAATTAACTTGTTTGAGTATCTCCTCCCTGTGGGTTTATTCAGCAATATTGAATGTGTGGTTACAAACTTTTGCTCCGCGCAGGTAGAGCCGTCATTCCACTTATAAAACTGTATAAATCAAGTGTCAATCCAGAGCTTCTTGAGCTTATGCATGAAAATGAAAACACAATCAGAGGAGATAGTCAGCTTCACACCACAGACTGTATGAAGGCCAATACTAAACCCCTAGCTAAACGAAGCCCAATAATGAAGTGCTCATAGACAAAGTTTGCCTCCAATTCTTGCTTCTATTGACTTACATTGAAAAGTAAACTCCTAGAGCAGTCAATTTGACAGCTTTTAGTTTTGAAATCATATTTACTCAGTGCCTCTACATTTGTGATCCTAATAACTTTGTTTTTATATGTCGTTTATATCTATGTCATTCTTTTTGTGAAATTATCTTTCACTTTTGAAATTTTATCAGTTTCCCCAAGGTAAATTGTCGGCTTGGTTTTCCAACAGACCGGAGTGAGTGCCAGTTACCATAGCGACACACCGTCTACTGTCAGCAGCTAGCATTCGTTCACTTTTCTTCAAACTGTTTTTTGCATTGTATTTCAGTCATATTCACTAGTTTCTTGCACTTATTAAAAATGAGTGAAGGTAAAAGCCTTGTAAAATAATTCACTTTTTTGGGGGATTTCTGCAAATTCTCTTGCTTTGAACGGGGGCAGTCAAAATGACGGCTCTGTAGGTTCTAGTAGTTTCATAGTTCTGGGAGCCCTTGAGTTAAACGAGTCTCATCTCAGCCGCAGCTCACACGTTCAATCAGTAGTCCATGATGAACTCTGGCCTCACCCATGACTTCGACACCTCGCAAAAGGCCACAGACACTGTTTACGTTCTCCGTTTCCGTTCTCCCTATATGCACCTCATTTGAACCAATTGTCCTGGCATCTGAAGCCATTATGATAACGATGTGTGTCAGTGTTGGCGGTGTTGAATCACACCTGGAGGCCCGTCGTTCAGCTCTCAGGATGGAGGTGGTTGGTGATCCCTGTGGCTCTGCGCTGAGTGGGCTGTTTACTTTGCTCCGTGCTGTAGTGAGTGTGGGTGAGACTGCCTGCTGCTCTAAAGGCTTTACGATGGGCTTCCTTCGCTTTTGCACAAGGAAGCCACACTACTGCTACTTTACCGCAATAATAGCAAAGTTGGTGTTCTGAGATCCCTTTTGGAGACAAGAAAGAGAGGTATTTGTCCGGGCTACAACTGTTCCACAATTTTCTCGGTTATTTCACGACCGCTAGAGCAGATACAGTAGGTTATTCAGTTTTGCCAATAATTATTTGCCTTCATGTGCTCTGAGTTCTAGTGAACACCAGAATTCAGAAGCCTGTGTGGTGTTGAGAAAATGGAAGGCATCAATGTAGTTTTTAAGTGTTACGCAAATGACTCAATGGAATTATTTTAGTGTAGCATAACTAAATGATATAATATTTAGCAGTTACAGTAAATGGTCACACTTTACCAATTAAATGCTGTAGTTCTGAATTGTACTAATTGAAGATATTTAAGACAATTTTGTTGGAAATTCTGCCTAGTTTTCCACAGGGCCGCTCGAGTTTATAATCTACTGTCTTTTGCATAGCTCTTTTTGAGACAAAAAACACAAGACAAAAACCCCAAGACCACAAACTCAGACCAAAAACCCAAGACCAAAAGCCCAGACCAGAAACCTGAGACCAGAAACCCGTGACCAAAAACCCAAGACCAGAAACCTGAGACCAGAAACCTGAGACCAAAAACCCAAGACCAAAAACCCGAGATCAGAAACCCGTGACCAAAAACCCAAGACCAAAAACCCAAGACCAAAAACCCAAGACCAGAAACCTGAGACCAAAAACCCGAGACCAAAAACCCGAGACCAAAAACCCGAGATCAGAAACCCGAGACCAAAAACCCAAGACCAGAAACCTGAGACCAGAAACCTGAGACCAAAAACCCAAGACCAAAAACCCGAGACCAAAAACCCGAGACCAGAAACCTGAGACCAAAAACCCAAGACCAAAAACCCAAGACCAAAAACCCAAGACCAAAAACCCGAGACCAGAAACCTGAGACCAAAAACCCAAGACCAAAAACCCAAGACCAAAAACCCAAGACCAAAAACCCGAGACCAAAAACCCAGACCAGAAACCCAAGACCAAAAACCCAGACCCATAAACCCAAGATCAAAAACCCAGACCAAAAACCCAAGACCAAAAACCCAGGCCAAAAACCAAAGATCAAAATCCCAGACCAGAAACCCTGACCAGAAACCCAAGACCAGAAACCCAAGACCAAAACCCCAAGACCCAAAACCCAAGACCAAAAACCCAAGACCCAAAACCTCTCCCTCTCTGGTCTTGTGTCTCAAACTGATTGACCAAAACAGCTTCCAACCCCTTTATACATGTTTGTATAGAATCTCCACCTCTCTCCTTCTGAACACATGCTGCTTATGTAAGACAATAGAGCATATTTATTCATAGAGACTGCAGTGCACTCACTCGACTGGGCTACAAACGCCTTACCCTCGCCATTTCTCATAGATAAAGTTGAAGAAGTCAGTTTTTTGTCCGGGGAAAAAAACTTTGCTGTCGACACTTGGCCAGAACTGCCTCCAGCTGCCAAAGCGTGTGCCACAGAAGTAATGCTGCGGGCGGTTCCTGCAATAAATCTGCCAAAATGTTCAGAAAGTCGACATAAAATCAAGCCACTGTTCTCTCCGGTGACTTAAAAGCAATTGTGAAAGTCGCTGCATTCTTCCAGACCTCTACTTTTTCAGAGATGACACCCTGAAAACACGGGAGAAAGCGTCTGCAGAATGAGATGAGAGAAGAAGAAGAGACACATTTGTGATATTGTATGAAGCTAGACCTGAGGGACCGAGACCGGTACAGCACAAAGATGTAATTAATGTCCGGTAGTTTCTCCATCACGCTCGAATAATTATACGGTTTCGTAAAACACCCACCCTTTTGGATCAGATTGATTTAGAAATTATAAATCAATCCAACTTTTTTTGTGTAGAGGACGAAATCCCAGAAGCAATTATCTTGAAGGACGTAATTCTTTTGATTAGCCGATAGCACTTAAAACAGGGAAAAAGCAAAACCTTTTCTTTCAACTTTCTGGTATGTGAGAATCAAATATTTTAACAGTAGGACTCAGAATTCTGAAATTCCGAGAACTCGCACAGTAGTCATTTTGACGGCTCCCATTCAAAGTAATGGAATTTTTCACTACTCTTAAAACTGAGCAATTCTGACTTCATTACATACATTACAATATATGCTAAAACTGGTTAATATTATTCATAAACATAATGACTTACCAATAAACTACAACGTACAAGTGTGAGTTAAAAGAGATGAAAATTTACTAATTTATATTTATCATGAATATTTTATGGATGTCTCTCCCCAAAACATGACAGATTTGGACTAATGATGTCTCTGATGAAACTAAGGTGAATCTAATCCCGAAATAGATTTGTCCTTTTGACCAGCCATGATTCTGACGTGAAAACCCAAGTGAATGTGGTCGATTGAAGAAAGTAGTGGTATTTTAGCTATTTATTTTAACACTGACTTCTACAATCTTAACACAAACCGGTAAATTTACAGTAAGGTGTTGCTCATTTGAAGGGGACAGAGTGCATTCATGAATATTAGCCGGTGTTGTAAATGCATCGGAGTAAAGACGTGGGATAATTTTCATACATTAATCCACAGTACCACTCACAAACTCCCACACGTTCTCAAAGACCGTGAAGAAGAGAACATGCAAACTGCACAGGAAGGCCCTGTCTGGTCCAGGAATCGAACCCCAGACCTTTTTGCTGTGAATCAGGAGCGCTACACTGCTCTGTCCCTGTCAAATGAAATGAATGAAAATATACTATGGTTTTGTCTACTCTATCTTCTCTCTGTCTATTTGTAAATCTGATTGGTTGTATGATTGGTCCTCCAAGTGTGCATCAGCCATTACACAATATCATCCTAATGAAGTGAAATAACGAAAACTTGAACCTTGAGCCGGGCTGGTTCTATGTGTACTGGGTTTAGCTCTGACTGCCACCCCATTTCAGATTTATGTAGCTAAAAACAGTTTTCCTTGAATTGTTCTGTGATTATTTATGTTTTTAATGCCTTGTGTGATTCTAAAGTCTATTTTCTTGTTTGGTACTTTGAGTTTCCTTTTGTATGAACTGTGCTAGACTTGTTAAACAGTTTTTTTCTTTATCAGAGCAACAATAAGAGCAGAAGTGATTGATACGATAAACAAGACACCAATGGTGAATACACATAATAATAGTAGTGTTAAACTGGCCTCACTGCAGAAGTTACAGCACTTTTCTTATTTTATTTATTTAAATTGTGGACATGACAATACACCACATATTACAATCACATTTGGAATAATTTTACACAAATGAAAAGGAGCAGAAAGAAGAAAACAAATCTTATGTTGCCTGTCCCTTTCTTAAACGGATTCAATGCAAAATAATTACAATGGACTTCAGCACTCCCTCTTCAAACTGTTTATATTTTAATTTTTCTATCTGTATAATCCATGAACTGTTTTCTAACTGTTGTACCTTTGTGTGTTCCTCAGGCGTGCTCAGTTTACCGGAGGGCCTGTCGTTGCACAGAGACCAGCCGGTGAGGGTGGGCAAGAGTGCAGAGGCCAGCACCCACAGCCAGTCTGAACTACGCTCCATCGAACAGTGTTTACTGGCCACCAGAGTGGGCAGCATCTCTGAACTCAGTAAGTGTCTCTCTGCTTGTCTCGACAACACAAAAGACAAAAAAAACCTCCCTGAATACCACTACACCACAGACACACGCTGAGCTGCAACACAAAAGTTAAAGTCTAATAGAAAAAGTTGGACAGCAAAACAAGAGACACAGAACATCAAAGTAAACCTAGATTGTTGTAGGGTCATTTGTGTTTAAATGTGGGGTTTGTTTTTAGCTGGGTTATCTAACTTTCTGTCCTTTAATACTCAAGATTCAAAATAAGCAATAATTATAATGCATCAGTTTCATATGGCGCTTTTCTGGACACTCAAAGACGTTTCACATGTAATTATTCATTCACCCCATACACAATGGTGATAAACTACTACTGTAGCCACAGCTGCCCTGGGGTACACTGACAGAAGTGAGGCAACCAGTCTGTGCCATCGGCCCCTCCAACCACCACCAACTCATTCTAGGCAATGAGGGTGACGTGTCTTGCCTAAGGAGACCACAGCAGATTGGCTTTTTGCAGCCGCAGCTGCCCCACTGTGGCATCAGGTGTTCCCAGAGGTTAAGTGTCTTACCCAAGGACACAACGACAACAGTCTTGTGGTGGGCTCGAACCCGCGACCTTCTGGCTCAAAGGCCAATACTCACAGGATGCTACATTGAAAATACACATAAGACAGACATAAAACCCAACACAGTAACACAGACATAGACCATCACCGCTCTGCTCCATGACCTGCATTCAGGAGGTTCGCAGGAGGAAGGAATGAGTTTTTAAACCGGTTGAGGTATCTTTTATTCTTTTTACTTTGTACTCTGTAGTGGCGCCCGGTGGGAGGAGCTCATACTGAGAGTAAAGGACATGAGAGGGTGATTTTCTTTGCCTGTCTAAATGCAGTATCCTGAAATATCTGTTGCAAAGTTGGACGCATTCTAACTCTAACACTATAGATAGACAGATAGATAGATAGATAGATGGATATGTTATTTATCCCCTCTAGGAGAATTTCCTAGAGTTCCCACTGAAAGATCAAGGCTATGCTCACACTCAGAGAGCAGCCATCCTCCTGTGGACTCACCACCTGCAGAGGATCAGTGAGGGGCTGGTGCTATGAGACTTGGGTGGCATCTCTGACTGCCACCCCCCCTGACCCAGAAATGGATTAAAGGGTAGAAAATGGATGGATGGATGGAGAAGAATTTCAGCCGTCCAGCAGCAAAACACATCCATCCATCCACACAAACAAATAAATACATATTTCTAAAAGTCACTAACAATAGTAATAGTAGCTCATAATACACTTGGTTTGTCCCAACAGAAAGTCCTGTGAGAGTTTTCAGACACGACACCGCAACATTCTGTCTTCAAGAAAACATTTTACCATTTGCATGCTTGTTAGAAAGAGCCGTGTGAGTCCGTATTTGATGCTTTTGGGGCTGAAGGTGGCCCGTTCTTTTCCATGTCTCGTTCTGGAAAAACTGATTTACAGCTAAAAATACATGCATGTGAAAATAGAACTTTTTTGAGAGCGAGGAACTAGTTGAATTGTATTGGTATTGAAATTAGGCAGCTTAGCTTTAACCACTTAGCAACAACCGGCGCGCCGGCGGCCGTTTTTATGTTTTTAAATGTTCTGCTGGCAATAGCAGATGTATTTTGAACACCAAACCCCAAAAGCTGTATATCATTTTAAAGCTTATTTTCTTATCTACATTTATATATAAGTGTAAACTACATCAGACTGCATTCAAAAGATATAACACATAATGTGGGCACAAAATAAATCAATTCCGAAATAGTTTTTTACCTTTGGGCTTGTGCTGTACAAATAAATCAGCTCTCCTCCCAGCTTGCAATACATCATTCTCTCTGGAACAGTCCAAAGGAAAATTATATCCACTTGTATTTCCCAAAGTAAAATCCATTCTGCAGAAATAATCCAAAAATATGCATTTATCTTTAGCGAAAAAAACGAAAAAAAAGAGCACAGATGTTACTCTTTCACTTGTAACGGACTTTTAGCTTTGTTTTTCACCCAAACATCTGGTATCTACGTGTTCCTTAGCTCCTTATCTTTCAAATGAGACTACTCCCGAAAAGCTAGGCCAATTTTTGGGTCTGCAATAGGTCCCGCAAGTACCGCTAGTGCTGCTGTTTGCGCATTGGTGACTGATCTTTTGTGGGGTCCCAACTTGTTTACGTTTACTTCCGGGATTTACGATTGACATGTCCTTGTAGCCAATGAGGAAAGCTTTCGAACAAGGGGTGGGACAATGGTGTCCTGTCTTATGTTGGGCCTGGACAATTGTGCGTACTGGAAGATAAAAGACGGTCTCGAATCTGCAATGAATTTACACTCATAAAAAAATAACTTTGACATTTAAAAAAGAAAAACACACATAGATTAGTAACTTATAAGTACCAATAATAAAAAATATTGTTTTTATGATGATTAAATGTAAGTAAAGATATTTGGCACAATTTGGCACACTTGTGCCAAATTGTGCCAAATGTGCACTACTTGATGAAAAGGAGAAACTGCATAAAAACTATAAAACTTAGAAGTCTGAAACTTTAGACAGTTGTTGTCAACAACACAATGAACAGAGGGTTTGAATATTGTGAACTTACAATGAAGTATGCCTTTTTTAGGGCCTTTAGAAATTGAAAATGTTAGGCGAGGCTAAAAAAATTGGGTTTTTTTCCCTAACTTCAAAGGATGCAGAGGAAAATAGGAATGACAAACATTATTTTAGTGTTTTTTTACATAAACTAGAAGGCTCTAGCTTTAAAATGATGCATCACACAAGCATGTGAGATGTAAGATGTGTTTTTAAATAAGCAAAGACATTTGGGTATGCCCAACCATTGTGCACGAGCCAAAATGAGGCGGATGTTAAGAGGAAACTGAACTTGCTCCTATCTGCTACATATTTATAATGTATGACAACCGTGGCTCTTTATGATATATTTAGTATATTTATAATCTCAAGCCCTTTCCTTTTAAGTCCCACTGCATTGCTCTAGTGCAAACACGGCCTATCGAAGGAATTGCAAGCTCAGACCACGGAGGAAGTTAGCAATCAGCTTATTTTTCTCTTTGAGCAAAAAAGCCTTGCACAACGCTGCCAAATCATCTTCATATCACAGATTCTGAATAGAAACCTGGCGTTCAAAGTAAGTAAAAGCAGTGAATGTGTTGCAGTGGTCAGGGGAGAGCGGTAGCATCTTGGTTGTAGGAGGATATAAATGACTCACGCATGGATGGATAAAAAGTAAATGTATAAGCAAGTCCGTGCAAGAAAAGTTATCAAAGTAAGTCATCTGGAAATATGATGACTGCATCTGAAACCCGGTCTACCTACGTATCTAAAATGAAAATCAAAACAAAAACCTGTCAAAAAGCAGAATCGACTTGTGAAGCGAAAAACACAAACTTGCTTTTCTCTTCTTCTTCTTCTTTCTTTAAAGTGATTGTCAGCAGTTTGTCAGAAAGAGAGACAGAGAGAAAAAAACAATGCAAGCTCTTCCCCCTTCCTTTCTGATTGGTCTACACCTACGTTTCCGTCTCATATTTAAATGTTAATGAGCACAGAGGTTTTCAGAATTGCACAGAGGTTTTCAGAATTATTTGTTAACGTTTTCATGAAAAAAATTATGTTTTAATGCACAAAATAAGCAATCACGGCAAACCCGGAACAAGCTATTATCATTAACTGAACATTATAGGACACATCTGCAGAGGATCTGATTATGGATATAGGTTCAGTATATAAATGATTATGGATATAGGTTCAATATATAAATGATTATGGACATAGGTTCAGTATATAAATGATTATGGATATAGGTTCAGTATATAAATGATTATGGATATAGGTTCAGTATATACATAAGTAACTCAGCGCAGATGTTCAGAATTCTTTGTTCAGTTTTCATGTAGTTCCAGTGCCTGATAAAGGCTTGATTCAGAGGCTCCGTGAAAACAAACAACTGAGCATGAGCAGCTCCGAGCATCAGCGCGATGATTGACAGCCCTTGGCATGACTCGATTGATTAACTTTGACAGCATCGTGGATTCTGAGCTATAGCTAAGAGAAGGGAAGGCGGGACTTAACTGTAATATTAGAATTAATAAAATGACTTATTTTATATCAACAGCTAAGGCCAGGAGGTCAATTTACTACAATTCTTAAAATGTGTAATTAATTTAGAGTTACATACTATCACTTTAAAGGGGCGGTGTGTAAAATAAACTCTTTGTGGTCGAATGATGTCATTACAGTTACAATCTAAAAACGTTTGTTGCCAGAATCTTCCTGTCTGTGATTCCAAGCACTGATTACTGATGCAAACCGCCTGCTGGGGTTTAGCCAGGAACAGTGCAAACGTTGTGTATCACATATATATATATACAGTGCCTTGCGAAAGTATCCGGCCCCCTTGAACGTTTCAACATTTCGCCACATTTCAGTCTTCAAACATAAAGATATAAAATTTTAATTTTTTGTCATGAATCAGCAACAAGTGGGACACAATCGTGAAGTGGAACGAAATTTATTGGATAATTTAAACTTTTTTAACAAATAAAAAACTGAAAAGTGGGGCGTGCAATATTATTCGGCCCCTTTACTTTCAGTGCAGCAAACTCACTCCAGAAGTTCAGTGAGGATCTTTGAATGATCCAATGTTGTCCTAAATGACTGATGATGATAAATAGAATGCACCTGTGTGTAATCAATTCTCTGTATAAATGCACCTGCTCTTTGATAGTCTCAGGGTTCTGTTTAAAGCGCAGAGAGAACCATGAAGACAAAGGAACACACCAGGCAGGTCCGAGATACTGTTGTGGAGAAGTTTAAAGCCGGATTTGGATACAAAAAGATTTCCCAAGCTTTAAACATCTCAAGGAGCACTGTGCAAGCAATTATATTGAAATGGAAGGAGTATCAGACCACTGCAAATCTACCAAGACCCGGCCGTCCCTCCAAACTTTAATCTCAAACAAGAAGAAG